CATGTAACGGTGCTCAGATCCACACCCATAGCTTAAAATGCAAAAATAGGTGAGCAAAATCATGCACTCTTACAAACAGGTGGTGTTCATCACTTGGAGAGGAGGGAAATTTAATAGATGTACTTTCAAGTTTAACACTTAACCTGTTCCAGCAAAAACAACCAAGAATTCAATGTATTCGCGAAAGCTTTCATGGCTGGGATCTAATGGTTGTTGTGGGTTTTTCGGGCTCTTTGGCCGTGTTCTGAGGGTTGTTCTTCCTAATGTTTCGCCAGTCTTCTGTGCTCTGAAGATGCTGTCCTCTGAAGATGCCAGCCACAGAGACTGGCGAAACGTTAGGAAGAACAACCCTCAGAACACAGCCAAAGAGTCCGAAAAACCCACAACAACCAACCAAGAATTCAATTTGAAATAAGCTTTCAAGGACAACAATCTGCTTCATAAAATGCAGGTAATGAAGTGAGCAGTAGTCCAAATATAAAACAGGAGGTGGCACCAATTTCAATGTTCTTTTTGATAAAATGGCATATTTTGAGGGTTATTTCTCTCAAAATCCTGTGGTGGGGTAAAGACAATGGGCAGCAAGATTGGCCCATTGGCAGTGGCAACTATTTCAGTGATGAAAATGTGAAGAATGATACTTTGTTCGGTAACAGCAATCTCTAGCAAGAAAAAGAAAGAAACATAATCATGTTGTCCCATAGGAAAATATAAAACAGAGTTGGGTAATAGCTTTATTGATCATTTTATTGGCAAGCTTTCAAATGCTTTGGAACTGCTCATTAGGTGAGGTGGTACAGAACTTGGGATGCAGGAGAGAAACTGGGAAGTCCAAAGATCACCCTGGCCAAATGTGTTATAGTCTGTGATTAGATGGAAGTCCCAAGCTGGAAACTACATCCATCTTGGAAAGTCAGTTTAAGATGAAATGATCCCAGGTTAATCCTTAGGATAAGCTGAATCAATTGTGTTTCTCCCATCCTATAAACAAAGTGTTGGTAGGCATTCAAACACACCCACACCGGCAGAATAGCTGCTTTGGGTCCCTTGTTGGGAGAAATGCAACACAACAACAACAACAGCAGCAGCAGCAACAACAACAACAAAAACAACAACAGTGTTAGTACATGTCCATACATGTTTTGACTTAGAGTCTAAACTAGACATTGGTCTTTCATTGTTATATTTGTAGTTTTATTGCTTTTTGCATATTTGATTTGGCTTTTTGCAGTATATGCCATTACTTCAAGCTCTGCATTTAATTCTGTGTTATGTATATGGCTTGATACTGTAACAATAAAAGTATGAACAAGGTTTTGACTTAGAGTGATTTGTCCTGCCCCTTTTTAAATCTGTCCCACTCCTTTTTGGCACAGCAGTGTGGCTACATCATTTTCGGTGTGATTCAGAGCACTCCTAGTTAGCACATTCTGTAGCCTATGTGGATGATTAGTCCACACCAAAATTAAGCTCTGTGGGGTATTAACCTGAGTGACAACCCTATGGTGTATTTAATAGATTATGGCATTGAAAGGGATGACAGAGAACCCTTTCTCCTCTCTTTCCATCTATTGTTTTAAATGTTTTGTATATATTTTCCTATTGGTGCAGCACTATACTAGATAAATAAGATACATTGACTGTATTGTCCACACCATGCTAGGTAAATGCATCCATGTTACACTATGGCGCCTGCTTTATTTAACAAAAGAAAAAGTTGCCATGACCTGTTGAATGATGGCTATGAGAAAAGGCAAGGAAGGGGACAGGAAGAGGAGTGTCCTTAATCAAAAGGGGAACAAATTGAGGTGATCGAAAGACCTGTCCAGATCCTTCTCACAGGAGAAAAAAACTTGATCAATGCAAGCAGAAGGATCACTCAAGTGAGATATAAACTAGATTGCGGCAATAAAAGTACAGTGGTGCCTTGACTTACGAATGTCCCGACTTATGACCAATTCGAGTTACAACCAGCTCTGGCCGCAAAATTTTGCTTCGACTTGCGACCGGCACTTCGAGTTACGACCGGAAAAAAAGGTGGCGGAGAATTTGAACTAATTTCAGTTAACCATTGGTCAGTGAAGAGACTGCTTCTCTATAGCTCTTTCACCCCAGCATTTAGAAAGTTTGAGTTCGGAGAGAGACTTCGGACTGCCTGGTACGGTACTGTTCTATATATTTTGGGGGGCATTTTTGTTTTTAAAAAATGTTGCTTTTGGGATTTTTGTTTTTGCTTGTCTTTTTTAAAACAGAAAGACTGCCTGTTCTGGGTGAATACTGTGTGTACAGGTTTTTGCAACATGGGTTTGGGCTGGGGGGGTTATGTTTCTGTGCTCTGATGGATCTTGCAATGTGTAGTTGTAGCATTTTTAGTCCCTGCTAGAATTTTAAAAAAAAAAAAATCTGTGGCTCCTAGGGTTTGTGTACTGTGATCCTTCTTTTGTTTTAAAAGATGTTTGGTTTTGAAAGGTGTTGGTTTAAAATGTGTGGGTTTAAAATGTGTTTTAGACTCCAAGGTCTCTCCCCCCATTGTCTTTTCTCTCTATCCTCTCTCTTTTTGTGCTTAAAAGCACAAAACTTTGTCTGAGGGGTGATTACCTTCTTTCTTTACTCTTTTTCCCATTGTTCCCTCAACTTCATCCTTCCCTGCCCCTTTTAACCTAAGTCTTCCTACGTTAAAAAAGTGCCCCCTAGTGGTAGTCGATGAATTAACTGCTTTTCCTTTAGTTCCTATGGAAACGAATGCTTCGACTTGCGACCGGTGCCTTGAGATATGAGCCAAAAACGGCCAGAATGGATTAATTGTGTTTCAGTGCATTCCTATGGGAAATGGTGCTTCAACTTATGACCATTTCGAGTTATGACCATCTTCTGGAATGGATTACGTTCATAAATCGAGGCACTACTGTACTATAAGAACATTTAAGTGAGAACCAAACTGCTCCAATATCCACTGTCTGGATGTGACCTCACTTTATTTTAAATACCTTCACTGGAAATACTTTCATTTCCATCAGGTGTTTACCTTAAAAGAGGGGCAGGGAACCTATGGTGCTCTAGTCTTTCCAGTGGTGAGGCCTTTCATCATCTGAGGTTCTTCCATCCTGCTCTAAGTATCCCCTTTGTCTTGCTGGAGCATGCATATTTTTGTTCTAGTCATTTGTAAGATGGAACATATGGAAAAACAATTTGAAGATCCTTTTGAGAAACCTAATATCTGGACTTCTATACACGCTAGACAGTTGGATTTATGAGTTTTAAGTAGCATAAAGAGAAATATGAAAAATGCAGGAACTTAGCCTGCTGTGAAAATCTTTATAAGCAACTACTGGAGACAGTTTGTAAAGCTAACTCATGGCTTCTCCATCATGCCATTATGTGTTTATTTTAATATCATATTCACACAAATAGATTTTTATTTAAAGGTGGGATCTCCTACTGCACTGTGACTCATGTCTATGGATTCTTGTCTTGAGTGAGCTACTGAGGAAATGAAAGAATTCTTCGAGAAACACTGATTCAAAAAATGTTCTTATTTTCATTTGCTCTGCCAGGTAGCCATGGATGTTAGCAGGCAATTTAAATAATTTTTAGTGGGCTAATCATCATCCTTTTAACTGATTAATTAATCCAATTTAAAGTCAAAATGTTTTGCCAAAATTTCACTACAATAGCCTTTCTGAACTGGTGAAACATCTTTCTTAGTTCAGAAATAAATTATGAAACTTCTTAAATTTTCTGATAGCAGTTTTCCTTTGATAGATTTTTTACTACTCATAATATCTACTCTTTTGCTATAGACATCAATATCCGATTTGCCAAAAGAATTTGGCTCTAATATTGTGGGATTAGAGATTCTGAATGCTGCTCCAAAAAACCTCAAAGTTGCTATTAAACAACACCTACACAAAAATTTGCCATGCCATTAAAATATTTGCTGCTTTGTTCATCTGGTCCAGACAATTTTCATTGCTATTGCACTTATATCAGTGAGCAGAATATGCCACTCGCCTTCTTATATTACTCTTTTTTCCTAATAAGCCCGTATCCTACAATATTTCCAAACCTTTCAATAGTAGAGGGGGGGAGGGAGAACCATACACCTGTAAATGCAAGTTTTTATTCAGTGTTTAGAAGCACAGAAACAAATTTCAACAGATTTTCCAAGGAAATCTGTTTGCTAGGGATATGCAGGGGGAAAATTTCATGATGCTTTTGTTTCAGGATCTTTTAGGTTCCGGATTCTTCTGAGCACAAGTCCTTTCAGTAAACCCCCCAAATATTCAAATCTTTCAGATTCTTTCATTTCCATTTTCCCATTCTGGTTTCTGGTGCTAGAAACATTTAAGCACAGCAAGCCCCTCAAAACTAGTATTAAAAAAGTAAGGACAAGACAACAGACAATTATCCACTTCAAATGTATTTTGGAGGCTCTGTATCATAAAACCGAGTGTGTGCATGTTTCCCATTAGGGATATTCCCAAAATCGCATCTGTATGATTTAGGTTTACTGTATTATCAGAGAGCTACTGTAGAAGATTACTAAAGAGGATATATCACCAAGCTTTATGCACAAGACAGCATAAAGTTCATCCATTTCAAGGAAAATACTGTGAATAATTTCTAGTAGCAAAGGCCAAAGCCCAACGGAAGAGCAATCACGCTTAGTGTGTTTTTCATTTTGTGGTCTGTCTCTTGCATGCTAGGGACACAACAGACAGCATGCAAAATGGCTAGTCCTTTCAAAATCACACAACCCAATAGGATTATGACCACAGTATTTTGACTATGATAAAAGTAGTAATGGTATTGGTAATGCTAAGTGCGAGAGAACAACTCTTGGTTTTGGGATTTCTGTAGTATGATCTAAAATGTTTTCCTCTCTATGTGATTTTTATGGAAACACTCTAATGAAAAAGACTAGATAACAACTTGCCTAGCTTTCATGGCATTAAATGTTTTCTGCCTTAAAAAGAATTCCAACCACATAATTTCAGGCAAATTAATTTTATTCATATGTATCGTGTTAACCATTAACAAAAAGCTGAAAGAAGGGTCAGCTCCATTAAGTATTAACCAGAAAATGTAATTCTACATGTTGTGAAAAGTACAACATTTCTGCTAATCATAGCATTGTCTCAGGGGCAGCCCGGAGTTAATGTACAAATGTCTGAGGTATTCTGTCTTGTCACACATCTCAGTGTTACAAAGCAATATCAAATTTTATTAAAAGTGTTACTTTTGTTAAATAGCACACCTTCAGCACGCTCATAGTGGCTGAGGGATTCTGGAAGCTTCAGTCCAAAAAAGTAACTTCTCTATTCTCTACAAAGACAATTGTATACATAGCGCTTCACATTCTTCTTGAGTTTCAAATCTATTTTTGTTCCCGCCGCAGCCACCATACCAGAACCGGGAACATGTGTTCAATTTTTTGTTGAAATACCACTTCAGATGGTAATTATCACATTCACCGCTGTCCCTATGCATAAGGCAAGCATCTAGAAAAACAGAAAGGGTTCACAGTTGATAAAGTGAAATCAAGGCTGCACATTAATTAAGGAGGGGGATTGTCACACACACCCAGTTCCCCGTTTGTTCTTCCACAGAACCCAGGTTCACTTTCGGGCATGACATCTATCTCTCAACCCTTTTCCGCTGCCACCAGAGGATTCACTCCTCACTCCATCAAACATGACTCTTAAATCACAGTTATTCAATAAAACAATGTTTATTTCAGTGTTTATAAGTAAATCATATAAAGTAAATCATGGATGGTCTTATTGTATTCATTCAAGCAACTGTGCTTTGATAACATTTATATTTGCTTATGTATAATCATGTTAATCAAGGTATTTATTCATTTCTTATCTTATTCTCTATCTTTCTATTATTCTCTAACACAAGACTGGTCCTAACTGCCTAAACTGCTTCTAATACCCTTAACTGAAGTCCCTAATTCTAACTCATATTCCTAACTCGTCCCTAACTCAAACTCTGATCTTTAACTGTCTTCCATTTCTCTTATATATCCTTAGTTCCGCCTCTTCTGTACAACAATTGGCTCCTGAATCAGGGTTCCATTGTGATGGACAGGAGTGGTTACTGACCTGTCCATCATAGGGATGTAGACAGAGAGATCATAATTTACAAATACACTCTTGGAACAGAAATGGGCAATGGTGGCCTTTCAGGTCCTATCAGACTTGAACTCCCAAAAGCTCTTAGCCAATATATACAACGATGGGGAACCATACATACTTGCCTACCTCTATTATTGATACACAGCTGTTCGCTGTATTGAGGACGTTCAGTTGAAATCAAGTTCATTGTTTGTAACTACAACCACAAGCACTTTGAGAAGAACTGACAAGCACTTGGAAGGCCACAATATAATGCTAGTGTCTTAGGTTGGGTGTGTGTTAGATGTTTTACACATTATCACTGAAAGAATTATCCTGTATTTAAATCCATTCCTCAGTCCTTTATTTGTTTTACTTTAATCATGCATTGTCCCACAAGGACTTTCAAAGCAACTTAAAACGATTAAGAACAATGCTCAGTGCAAGCAAAGAGAATAATTAAAAGCAATCACATGTAACATAGTCTACAAACAATGGCTAGGACACAATGCTCTGAAAAAGTTGGACCGTTTCATTTAAAGTCTTTATTTGTTGCTTTCCATCACTCACTGACTTATTAAATGGGGAATTCAGAGAAAGCAGTCTTTAAGGTTCAAAGCCACTATGTTGTTGTTTAGTCGTTTAGTCGACCAGAGTATGCCAGGCCCTTCTATCTTCCACTGCCTCCCACAGTTGGGTCAAATTCATGTTGGTAACTTCAATGACGCTGTCCAGCCATCTTGTCCTGTGTCATCCCCTTCTCTTGCCTTCACACTTTCCCAACATCTGATGGCAGAAAGTGAGGAGGAATTAAAGAACCTCTTAATAAGGGTGAAAGAGGAGAGCGCCAAAAACGGTCTGAAGCTCAACATCAAAAAAACTAAGATCATGGCCACTGGCCCCATCACCTCCTGGCAAATAGAAGGGGAAGATGTGGAGGCAGTGACATAGTTTACCTTCCTGGGCTCCACAATCACTGCAAATGGTAACAGCAGCCATGAAATTAAAAGATGCCTGCTTCTTGGGAGGAAAGTGATGTCAAACCTAGACAGCATCTTAAAAAGCAGAAACATCACCTTGCCGACAGAGGTCTGCATAGTCAAAGTATGGTTTTTCCAGTAGTGATGTATGGAAGTGAGAGCTGGACCATAAAGAAGGCTGACCACCAAAGAATTGATGCTTTTGAATTGTGGCACTGGAGGAGACTCTTGAGAGTCCCCTAGACTGCAAGGAGAACAAACCTATCCATTCTGAAGGAAATCAACCCTGACAGATCCTGAAGCTGAGGCTTTACTTTGGCCATCTCATGAGAAGAGAAGACTCCCTGTAAAAGACCCTGATGCTGGGAAAGTGTGAAGGCAAGAGGAGAAGGAGATGACAGAGGACTAGATGGTTGGACAGTGTCATCAAAGCTACCAACATGAATTTGACCAAACTCCGGGAGGCCGTGGAAGACAGGAGGGCCAGGCATGCCCTGGTCCATGGGGTCACGAGGAGTCGGACATGACTAAATGACTAAACAATAACAACAGTGATTAGGGTGTCTTTTTAAAGGAGCTCTGTTTTATTTGTTTAATTAGTTAAGCTTATTTATATGCTACCCATTATTAAGGCCCTGGAACAGTTAAAAATATTAACCAATAATAGCATATAATGTATAAATATCTAATGAGACTAATAAACATTCAGAAAATGGATAATCCGCAATAGATTCAGTGATATTCATTACAAAGGCAACCAGTCTTTTTAAATGTCTGAGTAATCAAATGGCACTGAAATGTCAACAGACTTGGTGCCAGGTATATCTCTTGGGGGTGGGTGTTCCTAAGTTGGGCTACAACTGTGAGCATTTGTTTGTATACCACTGACTTTGTGTAACTAAGTGGTTTACAAAGATAAAATAAACAATAAACCTGAGCACCCAACAAACCAATAAAATAAATACCCACATCAAATAAAATCACAAATGATGGCAGACTCTGGGGAGAACATATAGATAAAGACTTAAGAGAGGATGCCGTTAAATGCTTCTGGAGAGAAAAATGTCTTTAGCCTCCTCTTGAAGGATGAGAGCGAGGTGGCCTGATGGACTTCCAAATAAAGGCCATTCCAGCCAAGAAGGCGTGATTTCTGCTGACTGTTCCCTTAGCCTCCTTTGGCATAACAACCAAGAGAAGTAAGGCCTATGATGAATGGGTAGAATGGGCTGGTGTTCTGAGGAAGAGACCCAGACCATTAAGGGGCCCCAACCCATTAAGGACTTCACAGACTAGCACTAAAAATTTGAACCTGGCATGAAAAATAACCAGGAGCCAGTGGAGGCAAACCAGAACTGGCAAGTTACGATCAAACTTATTTAATCAGCTTTGTACACCCATTCCTTCAGATACCTTTGTACCAAGGCTTCATAGGTCAGTACTAATGAGTTGAATTTCACCTGGAAACAGAGAAACGAGCAAGAGGCAGACACACAGTTCTTTCACGAGTGTTATTACGTGATCGGTGATAGCTGTCCCTCACACCATAATAGTGACGGCCCATAGCACCACTTGGAACTGTTGGGTCATTTTAAAGTGCGATCTCATACAAAGTGCATTACAATAACCCAAACAAAAAGCTTATAGAGGCTTGTCACTGTAGCTAAACAGTCTGTCCTGGAATGACCATAGCTAGTTCATCTGCTGAAACTGGACAAAACCTATCAATGCCACTGAAGCAGCAATACTGGATAAAGAAATACCTTAGACTATATACCTGCTGTCGAATGGGGAATGTAACCTAATCTACAACATGCTATGTATCCAGTTCCTAGCCTCACTTAACACAAATGAGAAGGAAAGTAGCTAGGTGTCATTAACTGATGATTCCCCACCCCACTCCGCCTCATTTTTACTCACAACCTGTTCCAAACATTTCATAGGGATGTTAAAGAACATGAAGGATTGAACCTCATAGGACACCACTGCATAACTGCCATTCTCACTGGACAAACTCTCAAATGTATATGTTAACCTAAAGAGTCACTTTCCTTAGACAAGAGTGAGCAACACCACAACATGATTTTGGGAGCAGTTTCATCCTGTGCTTGGCATATATTCTGCAGGCTCCATTTTCTAGTTAGTCTATTTGTCCCATTATCAAAATCACTGAATTTAACTACAGAAGAATAAACAGACTGCTTGAAACTACATTGCTTAAAACTACATTAATTATGGAAGTGGCAGATATCCTAATCCTTTAACTTCCACTGGCTTAAATCTTGCTGCACGGTTATGCAAAAGATAGAATTTTTAGCAATGAGTTGCCATAAATTAAGAAATCTCTATAGTCATTCTCTGTTGCATGCCAAGTCACACAACTCAGTAGGCAACAAATAAAGCCTACAGAGATTTTGTAACTTCTAGCAATTTGCTGCTAAAAATTACAAAACTTACATTACTGCACAACAGGATTTTGGCCACTGAATTCTGATTAATTTAATGGAAGTAGTCTGACTACAAGAAAACTGCTGGCTTGAATTCATATGGGATGAAAGACAGAAGAGGAATATCCGTCCCTTTTACTAGGTGATGTGGACAGCAGAACTATACCAAAAGTTCACATAATAACAAGCTCACCTAATCCATTTTGCCTGATTTAACTCCTAATTTTAATTTGAAAAATTGTTGTGACGTCTGTCTAAACCAGAGGTAGACATAGAGCAGCCATTCAGATATTAATGGCCTGCCCATCCCGGCACTTCTCACCTTTGTCTATGCTGACTACAGCTAATGTGAGTTGAAGTCCAGCAACATCTGGAAGGCTGCACTTTGCCCGCCTCTGGTCTAAATCCATGCAGGCAGGCAAAGCAATGAAATATTTCCTCCAGCAGAAGAGATATATTGCAAACCACCAGAAGAATGTCGGCATTTTTTTAAAATAAAGATGGGCAAGACATTTTTGGTGCAACTTGAAAATCATTTAAGTAGAACACTTTGCTCTTCAACTGTCTGCTCTTCTTAGCAGGCTTCACTGACTGCAAATCAATGTGAAGTGTAAGGACTGCAGCTTAAATGAGTTGTCAGCCATAAGCTTATGTCAAGTAATGATATACTCTCCCAAAACTGAGCTGCCCATTTGTGTCTAAATTTGTATCCTGTAAAGGAGGTTCAGCTACTGAAGAAGTAAAACATCTGTGTGGAACAGGACACATCCGTTCAGTGGCTCAGTTCTCGTTGCCAGAATAAGGTCTACTGATAATTAACCTTGATTGCCCTGAGACAGATCTACTTTGATGTAAAAATCCTACAAAATAATGCTCACTGTATAAAGAGTTATAAGCATCTCTTCAGAATGGAAAGTCATTTAAATCTGAGTTGGCAAAGTTGGACTATCCTTGCCTTGTAGGCTATTTTTACAGAAACAACATGGATATCTTTAGTCAAACATAGAGTTGCTTTGTAAGCCACTCTTTGACTGAAGCAGCTTTTTTTTCAAAAGAAGGAAACTTCTGAATGCAATCCTGTGATATCATTGACCCATGATGTGTCACTGAGCACCAGGAATAATAATAATTTGGTTCCACCAAGTGAGTTCCAACCGATGGTGACCTTTTCCTAGGTTTTCTAGATAGAGAGTACTCAGAAACAGTTTCCCTTCTGGGAGTGTTCTGGGACTGTGCAGCTTGTCCAGGGCTATACCAGCTAGCTCTTTTCCTCAGGAGGCACAGTGGGGGAACTGAACTCCCAGCCAGACACCCAACTCATGGAGCTATCCAGCCATATCTAGACACCAGCACTTCTACATCCCAGGGTCAGTTCACACAATCACCATAGCAGAGCTTGTATGTTACTTCTTGGCCTAGAACTGACAAAATTCTCTTGCTCGTATGCCTATTGGCCATACAGCTGCAGGATTCTGGAAGTTGTAGGTGTAAAAAAAATTTCCACCCAAAACTCTACACTGAACTCGCAAACTCTATATGAAATGAAGCAAATGGTGCCCATGCATAGGCTCCACTACTCTGTAAAATGTTTGGCAGAGAACCATTTCAGATGCTGCAGTCCACCACAGAGATTTAGGAGAGTAAATGGGAACTGTGTGTAACTTCCAAGAGGAAGTCTAAGTAAAATAGGACCTGGCTTGCTAGCTGTCTATCAGTCATTTTTCTCTTCCAAATATGCATCCATACATACCAGCTCCACTCTGTTCTTGCTCAGCATGTTCTTCATCTTCTCTTTCCCGGCCCTCTTGAACCCCAATGTGTGTGAAATACTTGTTGTCGACATGAGCAGTCCTTTCTTTGTACTCTACAGATTCTTCGGTAGCCTCTGTAATTTTCTCCTGCATGTTTTTTCTGGGCAATTCTGATGGGTGCAAAACATCCTTGTAATCTGGTTCAGGGAAAAGAATCCTATAAAGAGAAAAACAAGGCAGAAGTAATGCCCTGAATAACAACTGTATAGAAAGTGATGCCCTAAGTCAAGGGTGGTGGGATTCAGATTTCCAAGGATCTCAGTGTGATTGGTTTAGAAAGCCATGTCCCTTTCCAATGACATCAACGTTCCAAGTTGTGTGGATGTGCGCATTTAGTCTTGTTGCCTATTTGGTTCCAGTCACGTCCAGAATACCACACGCACAGGGCAGGGGGCACATTGCATACATCATTAGTCAAGACTGCAGGTTTAGTATGAGATTCCACACCACCACCCCAAATATTGAAATGCCTCTACGAAGGCTTACTTACTGGTAGTAAGTCTTTTAAGCTAAAATAGGCTAATATTTTTGACCCTCATTTTTGCTTGTGGCCTTTCCCACCATTGAAAGGTTGGACTCATGAAGAATTGCTTATGCTTAAAAAGGAAAGCAACCGCTATATGCAGACGATCATCCAAGTATGCATAACCCACTGTCTCTAAAATAGAATTCATCCCTCAGGCTGAAAAAGGTCTGTATTCTTGCCCTACATTCACTGACCCACACGAATGTCCCGCTAAGGGCTTCTACGTCTGCTTCAGGTGATGCAAGTTTTTGTTCTTCCCCTCCAGTGGAGAGAATCAAAGCACATTTACCTGCTAGTCCCTCCTCTTAGCTCCTGGTAAGTGTATCTTTCATCCAGGCTTTCACACTCTTCCTGCAGGTCTGGAGGAGGATATGGATTTATTCCCCCTGTGGGAAAGGAGAGGGAGTGATGGATATCAGAACATAACTTTTTTTTTCAGAATTGAAGATTAAGAAGGATTAATTGCTTATGTGTAAAAAGAGAAAGCAATAGTTACATTCCAATGATCATCCACATCTTCATACACCAGCATTTGTTTCCATGGTTTCACATTTCTCTGTTTCTCTCCCTCACCCCTTTGGCTTTCCAGATCTGGCATGAGCTACTTGGCTTGCATGATGCCAGAACTCCATCTTACATCCAAGTGGCCAATTCTGCCTATCTGTTGGTTTACAAACACAGGAAATAAATCAGGATGTGATCCTGGTTTCCTTTCCTGTTTTATTTACCAACACGACAAGTTTTCCAGTCAGATCAAAATAAGTAACCCTGGCTTAATGCAAGTTAGAATCTTTGCACTGAAGCCATTGGACAACATTTGGAAGAGTAGGGAAAGGAGAGAAAGAGAGGCACTCAGTCAGAGCACTCATCCATAGTCCCATAAACCGGGGTTGATGGAGCCTGGGATGATTGTCTGAATACAGCCCTTCTTTCTTCACAAAATAATGACAGAGCTCCCTAGTGGAGGAGTTCAAAATGAGATGTTTGTACCATTAAAACTGAAAACACAGATACCCATTAACAGGGTTGGGAATACCCAGCCCTCCAAATGTTGTTAGACTGTAGACCAGTTGCTATCCAGCCCTAGCCAGGATAGATAGTGTGGCTGTTGCCCTTGCTGTTGAATGTGGCATTAGGGATTTCTACATGTATAATATTTGATCACACAACCCCATTCATAAATCCAGTTTTAAATCCAGATATTCAATTGTTCTATTCAGGCACTCAGTTAAAGGGTTCATTTTAATTGGTGAGCAAAGAAAGAGGCCAGCCCTCCCAATTCCATCCTGCTTCTTGCTATGAAGAGATCAGCCTGAAGAGGATTGCTATTTCTATCTGCTAGGGTGCTCCGCACTATCAGAAAATCTGAAAAAAACAGGCTTCTGATCTCATGGACAAAGAGATACTCCACACATTGTGGCTGTTCCTCTGTTCACATATAGCACTGTACACATTAAAGTTGTGACACAGGGGGCAGCGCCGGCTTGCTTCATCTGCTCCTGGGTTGTAGCTCACCGCTCTTTTCAGCTTTATTCCCTCCTCCCTCTCTCTGTGTTAGATGGAAGTGAGAGGAAGCAAACATCTGCATGCACACAGACAGAATGATACACATGACAGCTGCAGGACAATTCTTGAAGCAGATGCCTAGGTCTGTGAAATTCTGCCTTTCCAACACATTCCCTGGCCGGAGAGAACAGGGGCACATGAAGCTTCCTAGTGTCTTCCCAAGTAGAAGGGTGAGAGAGGTGAGGAAGATGCTTTGGGGGAGGGGAGAGATATCACCCAAAATTCTATGTGTGCCTGATTAGGTAAACACAAAAGGCCAAATTAGACCTGTGAGTTGGAGGGTCTTCTCAGCCAGAAGACAAAGTTTTGTGTCTTCTGCACTGAATGAATTTAACCATGGGCTGAAGGAAAGCATTATCCATTTGGTAGCATCGAAATGCAATAAGCTTACACTGTAAATATTGGGATATCTGTCCACCCTAAATTATTATTTTTAATTCAGAGGAGTGTACTCCTAGGTAAGTGTGTGGCTGAAATTTGTGGCTTGCTTGGGAATGTCTCCCATTTACCTAAGAGTATCACCCATTGGCTTCATTATCTTGCTTAATATTTATGCATGCAACTACACAAGTTGGTATTGTGACTTGATGAGGTATTAGTCATACACAAAAAGGCACACGGCAAACAGATCACCTGGCAGCTTCAGCTGTTAGTGCCCTGAGTACATAAATACTGAACTGCATACTGGCCAATATGAGTTTCTTCTGAATTACCTAGGATTGCAGTATAAACGTGCCATCTGTCATAAACTGGTACAATGCAAGTTGCCAAATGGAATGGGAAGAAAACTAGTCCTAGCACAGGGGTAGGTACAGTGCAGCCAGCAGGTAATATGTATCCCCCAGGGATAATATGCAGCAGACTTTCTAATTAGTTCAATTCTGTTCCTGGAAGCCTCCAACAGCAGTGGTTTGTGCAGTGTGGGCCATGGGAAAGGTCCCCTAAGACCTCCTCCTCTCCAAAAACCAAACTAGATATGGCTATGTGGGCACTTCCTATTATTTATTTATTACAGTGCAGCCAGCAGGTAATATGTATCCCCCAGGGATAATATGCAGCAGACTTTCTAATTAGTTCAATTCTGTTCCTGGAAGCCTCCAACAGCAGTGGTTTGTGCAGTGTGGGCCATGGGAAAGGTCCCCTAAGACCTCCTCCTCTCCAAAAACCAAACTAGATATGGCTATGTGGGCACTTCCTATTATTTATTTATTT